TGCAAGGGTACTCCCCGCGGTCGAAACGGTGCAAGGCAGCGTGGCCGGCGCATGGCTTGAAAAACGTAGTGTGTGTGTGTGTGTGTTAGTTTGGAATAAATGTATGAGAAGCAGCAGCAAAGGAATTTGTCTGCTGGAGGAGGAAAATGAAGGGGGAAAAAGAGAAGGTGCCAAAGAGTGGGTGCAGCATCTGGAAGGGGAGGCGCAAGAAAAAGCCGCAAGTCAAAAGGAAGGTTCTTGCATCCCCAGTTCCGTGAGTCTGGAGAATTTCACTCATCAGGGGAGAAGATGTGGTTTCCACTGCTCGTGACACACCAGCGATAGTCCAGACACGCTCAGGAGAGTTAAGTGAACAGGCTGCTCGCCACCGTCACTAATAATGGAGATTCAAGGCGCGCGGTTTACGAAATTGGTATTTCTCATTGGGCTGTTGCGCCGGGTGTTTGGGGCAAACAGCTCCGCGCACGCCGCCAGCATCCGCCCGCCCGTTGAGTACATTGCGCGTTCTCCAAAAAAGCGTTTCCACGAACTAAAAAACAAAAATTTTATCGCTGTCATTCCATATGCGGCTTCACCTGCTCCCGCAAAAGCGCTCCGACGCCAGTAGACACCTTCGGCCCCGCCGAACTCAGCGGCGTGCTTCTGAATAACGTTGCTTTCAATCTACCCACCAACGTAAAGTGTAAGAAGCTTGCCGAAAATCCCCATCTATGGAAAAAATGAAGCGGTGGCCTACAAGAGCAAGTGGCTTACCGCATACCCCAGGCGCTTCAGCACGCAGAAAAGAAAGTCAAGCATAGGGGCGTCAACGTCACTCTTCTCCATAAATGGGCCTACCGGATGTTGAGGTAGGCAAGCAATGATGCTTCTTCCTCTCGGATTCTACGTTCAATGGCCTCCAACTCATCATCTATTGTATTATGCAAAGGGATTTCTTGTACTTTGGCTGGCTCAATAGCGACCACCAACGTTGAGACAGTAGCTGCAGGTGGGGGCGGTACAGTAGCTGCGGGTGGGGGCGGTACAGTAGCTTCGGGTGGGGGCGGTACAGTAGCTTCGGGTGGGGGCGGCACAGTAGCCGCAGGTGGGGGAGGGAACGCCGCCTCCTCAGTTGCTTTATCAGCGCTGCCCAGAGAAAGTTCTTTTGACGCCTTTCCACCGTCCTCATGGCTCACTTTATCCACAGCCTCTTTCTTCAAGGTGAAGGATATCTGCTCTAGCCCACGCAAGGTTTCATCAATAGAAACCGATGAGGCAGGCGAGAACACATCTGACTGACACTGCCGTAGTTGATGTTGAAGTCTGTCGCAGTCATCCACAGCCATTTGCAAGATTGCGCACATTCCCGTGCAGCCTTTATCCAAGCTTTCGTACACACCGGTCTTCTCCGAAGCTAAACCACTCAGCCGCCGGACTTCCTCCAGCGCGGCGCACAATCGCGACTCTACCTCCGCCGCCTGAGTCCGTTCTGTTTTCAGCTGTTTCTCCAGTTTCTCAATGCGGGCAAGGCTGTCCTGCTGGGCAACCCGCAGCCGATCAGTCTGGACGCGGTAGTATTCCTTTTCACTAAAAACATCCTCTCTGCATTCTGCGTCCTCCTCTGCGAGGAGCGATCCTGCAAAGACTCGCAGTTTGTCTTCCATTTCTCGGCGTTTCTTCTGCTCTGTGTTGAGTGCACCCAGCGCCTCGCGAAGGCGTCTATGGGTCTCCTCCGCGTTGCTACAGCTTTCACGAAGAGCCAAAAGCAAACTGTCGTTTTCCATAGACAATTTTTGCCTCTCCTGCTGCTCGCACTGCAGTCGCACCTCTAGTGCCTCATTATCGTGGAGGAGGCGCTGGGCGGTGGCTCGAAGCGATTCCGCATTCGCGCTATAGGGGGACTCCCGTCGCAGCGCCTCCTTTTCACTGCCGTCGACCCACAACGTGGAAGGGTGCACGCGCGCGTGGGTGGCGGAGGGCACCGTATCTGCGGGCGCGAAGCCCACGTCTCGTGGCGCCTCAGCAGCTCTCGTATCGCCTGTGGCAGCGCCGGTCAACTCCGCCTCCTTCTTAAACGTACCCTTCAGCACAGCAACCTCCATCTCAAGGCACGTGATTTGTTTCTTGAGATTCTTCACAAGTGCAGACTCCAGCACGGCATGCCGGGGCGCGGTTTCCTCCACATCGATAGCTTCCGTAGACTCCATTCCGGCGGTGCTCACTGGCAGCTGCTTCCGCAGTTCCGCCCTCGCTGCTTCCCCTCGGCGACCTAATTGCGAACGCTGCACTCCTGACTGGCCACTCATTGCTCGTCCTCTCGCTACTCTTCACTTCCTACGTGCAAGCCTGCTACTGCATCGTTGGACAGCACATACCCACACAAACGTACATCAGCACCCCCCCCCCAAAAAAAAAAAAAAGCCACCAATGCTAACTCATGCCAGAAGCAAACACCGGCAAAGAAACCAAGGGGACGTCGCAGCTCCAATGGGAAGCAGGGGAGCTGCAAATGAGCAAGACACAGAGAGAGTTTCTGTTTGTAGTTAAATGGAAACATGGAAGAAACAACAATAACAAAATGATGGTTATAATTGGCGTGACGACGCTGGGGAAAAAGAGTATCTTCCCACAGATGGCATGAAGCAGCTACGGCGGGGTGACCCACCACTCCTCCTGCAGGGGCGAATTACTGGTCGTGTGGGATCGTGATGGCAACGTCCACGCCGGCGTCAATGGGGAAGGACGTGATCTTCTTCACCATCTCCGTCGGTGCGCGGAGCTCCACGAGGCGCTTGTAAATCTTCAGCTCATACGTGTCCCA